TAGATATGTTTGCTTTGGAGAGTAACACAATGACTACATGTGAAGGAAAACCATTAGACCATTTTACCCCTTATTCATGTCCATGTACAGCAGGTGTTGATGCGTTCAGTCACGTGTATGATTCGAGAAAAATAAACTATTATGCTTTCCACCCTTAATGTTTGTTACCTTCGGTTATCATATTTATTATAGATGAGTGTATACATTGTACAGTTGTTTTCCCTAAATTTAACCCTATCCCTAACTGGTATACGCTATAGTTATGAGGTATGCAGTTTCTGTCAAAGTCAAAGGGTTTAAAGGAGACATAGGAACATTAATGTTTCCCTCCAGAAAAGGGTATTTGAAAAACAAAAGAGGGTTACAGTTTGTTTTACTAGCTGCAAAGTTTGTTTTTTCGTATAATGCAGTTACAAAGAGTTAATCAGATAAAAAAAAAAAGAAGAAGAAAAAAAAAAGAATTTACTCCCCTCCTTTTAATGGGGGATTCCATGATTCGTTTTTTGTCAAATTGTGATTAAGACATTGCTATTGTTTCAAGAGGAGGGCAACATTTTTTGAAGTTTTAGATATGCTAATAGTTGAAGTTGAAAGGAGAATTGTTTTTGTTGTAATATGTTCCATATTGGAACCAAGAATGTAAATAAAGTGCATTATCCAGAAACACAACAGCGGATGAAAGCTAAAAGGGACTGTGATATATATATTTTTTTAGCTGAGCAAATTACAAACATGTTTTATTGTTGCAATAATATGTTCAGGATGTGTAGACACAAAATCAAGGGTGATAAACGAACGAATAGACTTGTTAAATGAGCACTTTGTATTATGTTGTAAACAAAGTATATTATGTTGTAAACAAAGTAATTATCATTTTATGGATCATTCAGATATTTCGGAAGTTTGTTTGAAAATCAGGCTCACTTTAACAAATCTGGAGAGAATCTATTTAAAGAAAAAAAAAGAGGTCTCTTCTAAACATATAATTCATGTGTACACGTTAATTAGCTTAATTTAGTAATAAAACCTGTTTGAAATGTATGTGTACTATTTATTCAGTGTCTCAACTGGCAAAGGGAAGAGTTCTGTTTTAAGGTAGAACTACAGTCTAACAATGATTTTTTGAAGATATTTTTTTTATCACATTATTTTGAATTAAGTATTATTCTGCACAGTTTGTAAAAATCCCAAAGTCATTATCATATTACAACAGGGAGTAAATTGATAATGAACTTATGTAAATAAAAGCACAGGGTAATTAATCTAAATATATAGGCATTTGGGAGGGGCTAATATGTCAATCATCTGTTGATACCAGTGTCCAGCTGTTAATCCCTGACCACAAGATAAATATTGTGGTCTTATCTCATTGTATTGCAACAAAAGTAATTTATATAACATGTTTATAAACAGAAAAAAGAAAAAGATATGAAAAGGAAAACTTTAAAGGGAAAAAATCTACAAAAAATGAAAAAAAAATATGGAAAAGAGTGTGAAAGTATCTCTGAAAGCCTCTGACTGCCTGTATAAATTTCTTCTATTTGGTCTTCTACATTTAAATACAGTTTTAGGCATTTTAACCAATTTTAAGTTTATGTGAAATTTATCAATTCCATAAAACTCAAAAATCATGTGGGAGTGTCTTTTTTTAAAGAAGTGGTCTTGGATCTTTTTATGAACATGTCTTTTGATGCACAATTTAGTGTTCTAGCTAATTTCAGTAATAGTATATTTCTTTTTAAAATACAAATGAAAATTATTCTTTATAGTGAGAATAATGATGTTAAATATTGATTATATGCAGCTTGTCAATCCTGTTATTCTCTTATCTTAGACTGTCTGGACAGAGGCGGGGCTTTGTCTATATTTAATTACTACATCACAGATATTGGTCAAATCCGTGACGTCAAACTCCCGCCAAATGCCAAGTTAGTGTTGCACAGTGCCACACATAATGCAAAATTTACAGCATTAGAGCATCAAAGAGACAAAGTGTGTGGTTCTATTGATAAAGTGATGGTGTCAGAACACTCCTGGGGTGTTCCCAGTAGAATTTTTGTATTTATGTTGCATTTATAGGGGTTTTAAGGGGGAAATTCCGTTTTTAGGTCATTTCTCAGAACAATTTTTCATGAGATTTGTTAGGAAAAAATGAAAATATAAACTTTATGGGTACCCCCTTTGGCTTGACTTTGATATATGTGATTAAAGGGAGTATTTTCTACAATATTGTGTCCCAGTTTTTGGATAATTTGTTTCTAAATGAATTTATAGGTCTCCAAAGATGAAAGGTGAAATGAGGTTTGGCACCCAGCAGTTAAATCAATATATCTTCTTACTGGAGGCATATATCAAAAATCTGAGACACGGTTTTGCAGTTTGTATATGGTTGATTAAAGGGATGAAAACAAATTTTTACTACCATTTGACCTGAATGTGCCATTTCCATCCAAGATGGAAGACCACTTTTTGGCAATTAATGAGCTATATTTTGAGATTTATCATACCAAAAATAAATTTATCTATGGATTAAGAAAGAGTAATATTTCAGCGTTAAAATGAGTTAAAGATTTTAAAAATCCATTGAGTAGTTTGGGAAAAATTAATCTTTAAAGACTGTTGGTTGGAGTCAGAAAATTCTGACTGTAGTGCTACCTTAATGGATGTTTTATTGACAGACATGTTATTCTTAATATTTATGGTTGTTGTCTGCGCTTTTAAGTGCTGTAATTACTGACCTCATCTGGTGAATTATATGTAGTTGTTTATTTTGCTGGTCCCTCAATATTAAACTGTCAGAACTTTAGAGCATGCATGTGGTGGTCAAGTCCATAAACATCATATTTATGGCCATCTTTCTAATGAGGCGTTCTAAAACCACAGACATCAGAAGAGAATTTTACTTTAGAAATGGACATACAACGTCTCATGTGAAACGTTAAAGAATATAATACACCCAAAAAATAAATAAAACATATACTAAAAAATAACAAAAATAGTTTAAAGAGGGGTATTGAATTATTATAGGAGATGTTATTGAAATAAAAATTGAATATGTATTTATTTCTGACTTAAGAGGGTTAAGGTATATTATTTCACGTTTGTTTTTAGGGTATTTTAGATTTTTTACCTCCATATCTTATATCTATTAGGAATATGGGGTACCATTGAGACTAGGATACTGTAAGCCACCCGAGAGTATCCTGTCCTATACTGGGCAGTTTACATACGAACACTCATAAAATGCAGTATCTGCTCCCCGGAGCACCTCAGTTTGTGTTTAAATATAGTTCTTCTGTTTGGTTAATGTATGTGTATTAAACGGCTTCCTTTGTATTTATTTGTTACTGTGCTATTTGTGTTGCTAACGGCTTTCCATAGTTTTTAATTTCGAACGAGCGTCCTCCAGCTCAAGTTGTTTTACCAGTGTAAATGCATATACTTTTTGAATGTATCCAAGTTTGATAAAATAAAGTGATCTTTTCAATGCTAACAGTTTTATTTGCTGAACTGTTAAAAAATCATATAACATTATATGATTTTATATAAATAAACAATAGCGTTCAAGTGTACTGAATAATAAATCCTAAAAAAATACATATTTGTGGTGTCCGACGTGGTGGGAGATAGCTTACTGTACAAAAGACGGCTATTTAAACTTCATTATGTTATTCTTATTCTCACCTAAAGGTTATTACTGCTTTATTTGGAAATTTATTGTTTTCTAGGTTCAAACTTGCCGCCAGCAAAACTTTGGGCTATCTGCCATTACTGAATGCTCACGCGTTTATATACTAAATTGTAAGTGTCACGTGACATACTAATCCAATGGTTACTTGTCCTTTCCGGGTAGCCGGAACTATACAAAATTACGATATTGAAAAACATAGAATTGAAATCATCTTGAGTTGTCCTATGATTGTCCTTATACATAAAATATTAAAACAAAGCTATAGCATCTAAAATATCGATAAAGAAGCTTGAAATAAACAATCGGACACCACTGCGATTTAGCAGACGATCTGCGTAAGAACATACAAAGTAAATAACATATAACATAGTTCATTACAACCATCTAAATATTTACAATATATTTGTGTCCGGCAGGGTATACTTATAAAATATTAAATGTGTGGTATTAAAAATGCAATATTAGATCAATTGTCCAGGGGACGAATTTGTATCAAAAGAGATAGAATCAACGTTTTATTCCCCACAAAATGGCAGACGGCAAAATCGCCGGTCAGTAAACAATTGCAGTTAAAGTATTTCCCTATGTATACCAGGCATATCAGACGTTTAAATATGAATATTTGGTTACCAGAAATGATCCTTAATACGGGAATTACATGATATATAGCATGAAGAAGGTAATCCATGAGTAATTACATACATTCCCTGCCGTAACACTTGTACACAAAAAATGTAAACAATGATAAAAATCATTTCAAATTCCAGAGCTTTCACATAAAATCAGTTGCTTTACTGGATATATATCACCTTTGTACCAACATATGTACACACCTTACTTGTAAAACTATGTTTTGGCTAATGAAATGTCTCCCCCTGTAATTTATTGGCAAAAAGTGAAACTTTGGCCTGTGAAATCCATAAAAATAGTAAATTAATGCCATATCTTTGATTACAAATGTAAAATGTTTCGCTTGCTCGCTGCGAGCCAAGTTACTATGCGTAAAAACACAACCGTTAAGTTCAAAAGATAATATTTGGTAAAAGCTTGAATTTTGACTTGTGATCATAGTAATAAGTATTGTGGATTACTGCCACAATTGTAAAAAATCATTATAAAATATTTGTCAGTCTTGCCACAAATTAAGTATTTACTTATAAATTACACCGCACAATTTAATACCTATTTGTTTCAATATAACATTCCCCAGTACCTTACACTTCCCCCATCTTTAAAGACAATGAATTCTCCTGAATTGAAAATTTTAGCACATAATTATAATGAAGGTTGAGATCTAAAATGTTAATGTTCAATTGTCTTCTCCAAGTCTCAAGGGAATATCAAGAGCATCTATTCTCTTTATCACATCGTCTGTGGAGTTATCTCTCTCCTTCACTGCAGTTTCTAACATCTTTAATGTTTGCACAGTTGATGCGTCTTCTTTGTCACTCTTTATTATATAAGCCAAAGCTTGATATAAATAAAACCGAGATTTGGTTGCCATTGTGTTTTCTTCACTTCCTGTCGGTGTTTTTGTGCCTGGTAATGCTAAAAAGTGATACTTGAGTAGCAACTCTTCCTTTGTGAATTGTAATTGCTTTCCCGAGTTCAACTCCAGAGCAATACTGGCATACTCCCAATTAAAATACTTTTGCTCTGGAGTAATCTTTTTCCAATTTTTAGGTGGCCAACTAACAACTGCTGGGATGGTAATCAGTGGGATGACTTCTTCTTGATTCCACTCCCTTCTCCCAGCTGGGAAAAGTGGCATGCCACCTTTCCTCAGAAGTGTCCTTGCCCGTTCACTTGCGGTAATGTTGCCGTTTAGAGTTGTACAATCTGTGCCCCGATCTTCTGATGCTTCCAGTTCCTTTCTTTTACTTTCTTCATTGTGTTTTTCTTCTTGTATCCTCTTTTCCTCCTTCAACCTTTCTTCTTCGTCCTGTTTCTGTTTTTCCTGCTTCCTTTGTTCTTCCTCCTTCCGTCTGATTTCCTCCTCCTGATTCTGTTTTCCCTTTCTCTTTAGTTCTGCCTCCTTTAGTCTGACTTCCTCGTCCTGTTTTCGTTTTTCCTGCTTCTTTTGTTCTTCCTCCTTCAGTCTAATTTCCTCCTGTTTCTGTTCTTCCCTTCTCTTTTGTTCTTCCTCCTTTAGTCTCATTTCCTCATCCTGTTTTTGTTTTTCCTGCTTCCTTTGTTCTTCTTCCTTCCGTTTGATTTCCTCCTCCTGTTTCTGTTTTTCCTTTCTCTTTAGTTCTGCCTCCTTTAGTCTAACTTCCTCGTCCTGTTTTCGTTTTTCCTGCTTCTTTTGTTCTTCCTCCTTCAGTCTAATTTCCTCCTGTTTCTGTTCTTCCCTTCTCTTTTGTTCTTCCTCCTTTAGTCTCATTTCCTCATCCTGTTTTTGTTTTTCCTGCTTCCTTTGTTCTTCCTCGTTAAGTCTGATTTCCTCGTCCTGTTCCTTGTCACCCTTTCCTTGCTTTATTTTCTTAGCCTTCTGTTCCTGGTGGTTATTCTTTTTCTTTCTTTTCTCTCCATTTTCCTCTCCTTCATTCTCTGTCTTCTTACTTTTCTTCTGGCTTGTTGCTTTCTCGTTCAGAATCTCTGGTTCTTCATTGTCGCTGTCATCTTCCAATATAATATCTGAGGTTGATGGTGTTTTAAGTGGTGATAACGGATTTGTGATGGCTTTTGTCTGTTTCCCTGGGAAGAGTTCATCTGACGTTTTTATGTCTGCTATATATTCCTCTGATATGGATAGTTTCCTAGCTACTACTGGCGTCACTATAGACTTTAATTTACCGTCTATCGAGGCAGAGAAGGTATGTGATCCTGCATACTTGGTGTTTACCAGTGCCGTCATCCTCCTTATTAAAGCATCAAGCATTTTGTGATCTTGTTTAGAACCAAGTCATTCAAACTTATCTGATAAAATCGTATAGACACTCCAAGGTCTAATTTGAAGATGGCTGTCGAATCCCCAAGTCCTAATGTAAGTTGCTGGAGGGCCAGCCCTTCATAGATGGTGGGGCGTGTTGGTGAATATGACCCATTAGTTTTCTCCTGCTCAACCTCTTCCTCCTGCTTTCCTCTAACCATTTCCCTAGGACACTTCCAGCCTTGAGTCCAATCCTCCTTCTTCCTGTTGGTATTTCCAACCCTGTTTAGGAATTCTAGGACCTCAATCCTGGCTTTCATGGCCTCTTGGGAGTTTTCATTTGATGGTGAGATTACCTTTGCATATGTCTCTGGGTAATTCGACATCCAAAACCCATTGTTCTCACTCAAGAAACTGTACGGCATGATCTCTATTTTGCTGCGGTGGTTGGCCATGATGTGCTCCTTCAGGTCAACCATCCTCCTGTACGACTTCTCTTCAGGACACCAAACACAAACGACTGAAAGCCGTGTGTGTGGGGCAGCTGCCAGATGGTTCTTTAGTTGTCTCCTTGTCCTAAACGTCATGGGACACAGCCAACACTTCACCTCCACTTGTGATGATGGTCTCATTCTGAAATCGAATCAAATCTTTAAAATCCCTCCACCATTTTTATAGCAGATACAATAAAAGATATGTATGTAGTGTGCTGTTGTGTGACTATATTTGCTTATGTGATTAAAATCCTCCCCCATATGGCATATGCTGGTAGTAAATGGATCAGCCTATGTTTCAATAAAAATATGATATCCACCCCCTTGGTCTCCCTATTCAAAAAAAATCTCAAGCCTCCTCAAGACAAAAAGTTGTCGTTAATTGCTTTCCGCCGCGCAGCTTGCGCATACAATAAAACGCTTGGCAGTACAGTTTAATCTGCCATTCCCCTGGCAGGAAGGATCATCCTTCCCTTACAGCCAATAATATGTCCTGAGAAACAATGGCCATTTGTCTCCCTTACATATTCTTCCAGAATGGATCCAACTCTAGGAATTCCAACATGACTTTCTCCAGTCTGAGATAAGTCATACAGTTACTCTTAAACATAGTAACTCATCAAAACAATTAAAAACGTAAAACTTGTACAACTAATTTCGGCTATTCAAACAACAACTATGAAAGGCATCTCAGGCCTTTCTACTGGAGAACCAAGTGGGCGGATTTCGTCCTTGATAGGGCAGTAGTCTATCGATGTGGTAGACCTTCCCTGGCTGTTTCTTTGACCTTTTCACAAGGTAAGTGATGTCATCAATTTTCCTTGTGACAACATATGGTCCTTTCCATTTTAATGTCAACTTATGACAAATTCCTTTTCTCTTTGATGCATCATAAAGCCATACAGCTTGACCTATTTGTAATTCGCGCTTTACTGCTTTCAAGTCATAGTGACGTTTTTGATACTCAGAATTCTGCTTAAGATGTTTCCTAGCCAGTACATGTGACTTTAACATAGCGTCCTGTAATTCATTTATATATTTATCCGTTTCAGGGGTAGTGGATTCATCTGGTCCATCAGGACGTGGAATAACAGCTTCCATAGGAAGAAATATGTTTCTGCAAAACATCATCATGTTAGGGGTCTGTCCTGTGCTGGCGTGGACTGATAATCTGTATGCAATCATAACTTGTGGCAAAATCTCATCCCAGTTTCTCTGATCATTTTGACAATAAAATGTTAGCATGCTTAGCAGTGTCCTGTTAAATCTTTCAACGCTTCCATTAGATTGGGGGTGTTGACTTGTACTTCTAGTTTTGTCAATTTTCAGGAGATCACACAGATCTTGGAACAGCTTTGCTTCAAAAGACCTTCCTTGATCAGAGTGAAGCTGTAATGGTGAACCAAACCTACAAATAAATTCATTCACGATTGTACGGGCAATGGTCAGGGATTCCTGGTCCGGAATAGCATATGCTTCAGTCCATTTAGAAAAGCAGTCACAAAGGACAAGAACATAACGGTTTTGTCGTTTTGTTAACGGAAGTGGACCAAGAATATCAATCGCAACACGTTCCATAGGCTCGCCAACCAAGTATTGACCTAATGGAGCCTTGTTTCGTTTAAGTGATTTCCTAGCAGCACATTGGTCACATTCTTTGCAGTACCTTGTTATTGAGCTTCTCATAGCTGGCCAGTAAAAGAGCTGCTGGATCCTACTTAGCATTTTATCTGGTCCTAAATGACCTGCAGATGGAACGTCATGGAAATACTTAAAGACTGTCTTTTGGTGTGATTTTGGTACCAGGAGCTGCAATTTGAAGTTGTCTACATCGTCTTTATCAGAACAATAAAATTTTCTATAAAGCATGCCATTGTTTATTGTCAGCCTATCCCATTGTCGCCATATTGTTTTCTGGTATGATGTTCCTTTTGATACTTGGTCCCAGTCAGGTTTATTTTTCTTTTCTTGAAGATATGTCACAATGAGTGACATGTCTGGGTCTTCCAATTGGCATTGTCTAATACTGTCAGGGTCCCATCCTTCTATGCAATAGCCACTTGGTGTAGCACTAGACTGATTTCCTGTCTGACTTCTTGTACATATTCGTACTATTTCTATACTTGGTGTTAGCTCCTCATTTTCATATAACTCCTGGTTAACAAAATCAGATTCTTCAAGTTGAATTTCGTCTGTTTCATCGTCACTTGTGTGGTTTCCAGATTCTTGTTTCTTGCATGATTTACAAGGTCTTCTGGACAGAGCATCGGCATTTGAGTGTTTCCTTCCAGCCCTGTGTGTCACTGTCAAATTGTAAGTTTCCAGTTCTTCGAGCCATCTGGCTGTTTGACCAGTGGGTTTCTTTAGATTTTTCATCCATGATACAGCTGCGTTATCTGTGCGCAGCAAAACTTCCTGGCCATATAGATAATGATGAAATGTCTTTAGTGCTATAATTACTATAATTACAGCAAGTAGCTCTTTTCGAGTTACACAGTATGCCTGCTCATGTATCTTCATAGATTTGCTCATGTATGCTATAACTCGTTCATGACCATCTTGAATTTGTGACAAAACTGCTCCGACAGCCTTATCACTTGCATCTGTGTCAAATATGAATGGCAAATTTGGAAGAGGGTAGGCAAGCACAGATGTACTTGTTAAAGCATTTTTCAACTGTTCAAATGCCTTTTGACACTCGTCATTCCAAGCAAAACGGCTATTCTTTTCGCAAATTTTGTGCATTGGTCTTGCAATTGCTGCAAATCCCTTAACAAATCGCCTATAGTAAGAACAAAGTCCTAAAAAGCTGCGCACCTGTTTTGCAAATTTGGGGATTGGCCAGTCATCTATAGCTTTTGTTTTCTCTAGATTAGTGGAAATTCCATCCTCAGACACGATATGTCCAAGGAACCTGACTTGTTTTTGAAAGAAAATGCATTTGGCAGGTTTCAATTTTAGATGTGCATTTTGTAGGCGTATAAAGATTCTTTCTAACCGCTTCCAAGACCCTCTTCAAATGTTGAACTTACTGATATGATATCGTCCATATAGAGTAATAGTTCTTTCCACTGTAGCCCTCTGAGAACATTTTTCATAAGACGCTCAAAAGTAGATGGTGAATTTGCAAGTCCAAAGGGCATGACAGTGAATTGATATAACCCTAAACTTGTCAGAAATGCGGTCTTTTCCTTGTCGTCGGGAGCCATGCCAATTTGCCAAAATCCTTAATTTAGGTCCATTGACCCGAAGAATTTCCCCCCAGCGAGCGAGTCTAGGCACTCGTCTACCCTCGGAATCGGGTAGGAATCCTTTTTAGTGACGTCATTCAAAATTCTGTAATCAACACAGCAACTAGGCCTGCCATTTTTCTTCATTACAAGGACAATATTCGATGCCCAAGGACTAGAAGATGGTTCAATGATTCCTTTGTCCAACATCCGGTTGACTTCTGATTTTTCCATCTCTTGCTTCCCAAGTGGCATACGTCTAGATCTTTGCCTAAAAGGTATTGCATTTCCTGTATTTATTCTATGTGTTACAAGGTCTGTCCTCCCTATGTCATCATCTGTCCGTGAAAAGACATTTTGGTACTGTGAAAGGAGTCTGGAAAGCTGTTGTCTTTGGTCCTCATTTAAATAAGTTGAACTCCTTTTTAATAAGTCAATAAGATGTTCTAGTATTTCTTCACTAGCTGGAAAGCAATCTTCTTGTAGTGTTCTAATCTGCTCTGATTTCAAATCATGCTCAGTATATGATTCACATGTTCCTATTGTTTCCTTTTTATACAGTTTAACTTCGTCGTCACCATAGTTGACAACATTAACAAAGTGTGCTTGATCTTTTGTATTTATAATCCCAGGTATTGCTAATGTAGACTTTGCTGTTCCTGTCGTGCCCTCTATTAATACGTATTCTGTTAAATGATTTACACCCGGTATTTCTACAGTTATCATAGTACTCGTCATTGGAGGATTTGTCATGTTGTCTTTAATTTCTACTCTGCAAATCATATTTGCCTTCCCTCCAATCCAACATTGTATTTCCTGGTTATGGATCGTGTGTAAGACCATGCGCTGATAATTAACTTTACTTACTTCCTTAAGTAAGAAATCCTGTCCAAGTATTGTTTGGTACTAAAGAACACCAAACATTTGAAGGCAATTTTTCGTAAACCTCAATAGATAATATTGACGCTGTTGAGCCACTGTCAATTAAAAAGTTGACAGGAAACCCATAGATTAACCCATTTGTATAAAACCCATTATCCCAATTATCATCTGTTTCCCCTATATGTCCTTTCCGGACATGTTTTTCTCCCTTTATATCAGGCCTTTTACCTCCTGTCACTAACTCACGACCTATTGAGCCAGCGTTCTGTCGTTTCCCTGGTTATTATTAAAAGAAGTATTGTGTCTTTGGTTGCCCTGGAAGTTCCCTCTTCCTCTTTGGTTGTTTTTGTGTGGACAGTTCCTCATAAAATTGTCTGGTGAGTTGCAACTGTAACATCTGCCA